AAGATCAATTGTATATACTGATCTGAATCACTTGATAAATTGGACTTATTTAAATTATAGGTTTTAATGCAGCAAAATGCAAAGTTGGGGAAAGAAATGGAGGTCACAATTACAATTTAGAAACAGAATATTAAATTGCAGTGACTCTAGAGTCTGAAGGATAATGGTAGATAATAAAATATGAGCTTCCTGTACAGTTGTTTAAATAAAAGCATGAATATGTTCCTTAAATGGATAAACAATATAAAAAGTAGTAGGAAGGTAGTTTGGTATATGGTATTAGTGTGACCATCACTGGTATATTGTGTCCAGTTCTGGTGTTCACATTTCAAAAGATTGTAGAGAATGTGAAAGTGTTGAGAGAGAGCTACAAGAATGACCAATCTAGAAAATGTGCTTTATTGAGAAATCTGTGAAGGTCAGTCCATTTATTTAATCCAAAAGTAGATTATAAACTGTCCTGATCTACCTACCTGAGATGTAGATTTCTGAATGTAGATCTTTCTTTAATATAGTAAAGAAAGCATAGTGAGGTCAAAAAGGCTTAAGCTAAAGAAATTCAGACTAAAGAAAAAGCAAAAATGTATAAGAATTATGGAATTAACCTGTGAAGCAATTTTGCTCAAGTATGTGATGGATTTCCTTTTACTTGAAATCTTTAAATCAAAGTAAAACAGGACATTATATCTTAATCAGGAATTATGAGCTTGATGCAAATTGTTACTTGGTGAGTCCATGTCCATATACCATGGGTGCATCTACATGTGCACTTTACTGCCTAGTTGACTAATTAGCTCTGCAGTAAAGTGTCACTTTTTATCTGTGTGCCCATATTAGGGTGCAGTAAATTAATTAACTACACTGTAAGACAGTACTGTTGGGGACAGTACTATCTTATGGTGGAGTCAGTTACTGCGCCAAAATGCACTTGTAGAATGGTCACGGCTCCACACTTTGGCAGTCTCATGCCCCAGCCAGTCCCTCTGCCGCCCACCACTGCTACTTGGAGCCTGGGGCTGACCCCCACTCTGGTTTGCTGGCAGCCCAGGGCTGCTCTGCCCTGGCTCAAACTGCTGTGGTCCTGGGCGCACACGTAAACACTGAGCCCGGGAGCAGTAAACTCCAGCATGAACTGCACCAGAGTTTACTGTGTCACCTTAATGGTATGTGTAGATGCACCCCATAAGTGCTTAATGACCTGATTTTCCAAGAATGCTACGCACCACAATTAAGGCAATGAATTTATGGATGCACAGCTCTCTGAGAATAACAAATAATTATTTTTAAATAAAGATACTTAATGGCTGACTGGCTACTAGAAGCTGGTATTCAGAATTAGTCAGTCACTTCCAGAAACTAATGTTTTACCTAGCAATTATGATTTACATTGTAAAAAGCTATGTACAATATGACGATTGGGAAAATATTAAATTTCAATAATTTGTAAAAATGTGCTTGAATTTTAATATCAGGACTTTTTCTAATAGATTTGTGAAATTATGGTAAGCAGTTGTATTTTAATAAAATAGAAACTTGTTATAAAATATCTTTCTTGTATCCTTTCTGAAAAAAATGTCTGGCAATAGGATCAAAGTATAGAAAAAACAATAAAATATAAATGAAGAAGCAAAACACAGAATTTCTGTGATTTAAAACAAAAACTTTTGGCTCTTAAGATCAGAGATAAACCAGAAGTTTAGTCACTCTTAAATTAGTGCCTAGAGAATAAATTGCAGTTGTTACCATTTCCTTTTTGTCAATCAGATTCTACCAGTATTAACAGAGTTGCTGACACTTTGAATACCTCCAGTATCCACCGAGACCCCAAGAGAGATCCCAGTGAAGAATGGAATGCAATAGCAAAGACTTTTTATGATTCTTCTTTTCCCACAGAACATGTAAGTCAATTAAAAATATTGCAGAGCAGACCTTAGTGAGCTAATACCACAGATATGTGTAGAACTGTACGCATCTGGATGCTTTAAGACCTAGTCGATCTCCAAAATAATATCAAGAGGGCAACATGGCACCATTTTTCACAATTAAGGTTGATAGAAAACAGCCGGAAAAAGTCACAGCATATAAATCAAGCAGATGCTAGCCAGTCTGTTTTGGGAGGACAGGGAGAGGTAGTTCATTGTGTACCTCAATAAAAATGATCACCTACAATGTAGGAATAAACATGTTATGTTCACTTTACTTACTGATTTGCTTACTAATTTACATGAATACATGCTATCTTTTTAGAAAAAACTTCAGGGAATTTTGAAGTATTTCAGTATGTTTTAAATACCAGGAGCAAAAATTTGATTTTGAATAACTGTTTAAAAATGACATGACAAAATATTCTCCATGTCAATATACAGACATCTATGTATAAACAGAAAATTAAAAGAGGAAACCTGTGGTTCCCTTGGGTCTACTTGTTACATGAGATGACACTAGCCATAGTTCACATTGCATATTTTAGATCTATGTGGTTTGTAATGGTGTGTGAGGAACTTGAACAAAAAGGCTAAGTCTGGTTCCTGTCTGAAGAGAGAGAAACAAATTCTAAAGCACAATATGAAATGTAACCTCAAGGGGTGATTTTTTTAAACATCTGAATTACAACCAACTTGGAAATGGTTATTGCAAAAGGTATGGATAGTCAGTTACAGCTGGCTTTTGTTGATCTGATTTGTAGTCTGGGTATAAAAAGATATCTACATTGGTATCTAGTAGGGGTATGCGAAACGGGCTGTATTCGATTTGGATTTGGCCCAAATTGGGGACAGTGATTTGATTCGTTGATTCGGATCACTGTCTCCAATTCGATTTGGCCGAATCTGAATCTGAAGATTCGATGCTGATTCGGAGAATCAGCGATTCGGCCATAGACACAGCTTTAAATGTTCTTTCTACATACCTCAAGGTACCAGGTGCGACTCATGAATGCTGTGATGGTGGGGCAGGTACAGCGTCCCACAGGAGCGTGGAGGGCTCCCCTGCGTGCTCGGTGGTGAACCCGGAAGTACGTTTACCTCAGCAAATGTAAAGTCACTTGGAAGTACTTCCAGTCCACTTCTGGGTCTGCCACTGAGTGCGTAGGGCCCTCCCCCTCCCCCCGGCTCGGTCAACGTCCAGGGGACACCCCGGGTACCCCCCCCCCCGACCCAGGAGGTACCAGTTGCCAAGCTGGTGGGGGGGGGCACCCTGCACGCTCCCTGACAGACCCAGAAGTGCTTCTGGTTCACTTCTGGGTCTCCTGCCAAGTGCGCTGGGGACCCCGTGTTCCTGTGGGATACTCCATCCACCCCACCATCTCAGTGTTCACAAGCCACCTGGTATCTTGAGGTATGTAGAAAAAACATTTAAAGCTGTGTCTATGGCCGAATTGTCAAATCTTTCCGAATCTCTCTGAATCGATTTGGAGGGTTCCGATTTGATTCAGAGATTAAAGGGTCTCCTGATTTTATTCGGATTTGGAGCTTGGCCACCGAATTGAGCTGAATCTCTGCCGAATTTAATCAGCAACCAAAGCTTTGCACAGCCCTAGTATAATTTTCTGGTGAAGATGGGCCAAGTTTAGGTATCTATTGATTTTATTGGATCTGATAAGTCACTTTAAAATATCTTGGCTAACATATTCTTCAATAGCACCCTTCCTTTTGTATTGACTACCACCCAGCCTCCCTAAAGCACTTCTTCCCTGTTATCAGCATTTATTCTCAGCAAATGTAGTCACCTGGAAGATGAGGTGTTTTGAACTAGTGTGCCATCTCTAAGCTACTTATACTAAGCTTTGTCTCTTTTGCTTAACCCAGGGTCTGTGATTTTTTTTTCATGTATGGCAGATAGGAATCAAATAAAATATGATTCAGTAATGATGCTGAGTGGCAGGGTAAAACATCTGGAGATGCTAGCAGGAATTAGATCTGCTTCTTTTAAAGACTGAACACATTATAGCTGTGAACACACAACCACCAGCAGACCTTGGGCACATCTACATGTGCAACTAATGCTCTTGAATTTTCATCGCAGAAAATTCAGGCTCATTCAAATGCTCCAGGGCACACATCCAGACTTGTACCTCCGTCGGGAACAAATTGCATCTGACAGGAGCAGTCCAGTACAGGGCTGCTCCTGTTCTGCTCTGCCCCCATGCAGCAACTGGGGAGCTCCAGTGTTGCCCGGGTGCCAGCTTAGGCGCTGCAGGGGCCATGGGGCCCAGTCCTGATCCCCATATGGCCAGGAGAGCTGTCCCTACTTGGCAGGGACACTGCCTGCCAGCTACCTGGGGATCAGGGGGGTTCTGATCCCCATGTGGCTGGGAGAGCTATCCCTGCTCTGTGGGGATGCTGTCTGC